AGTGGGAAGTCTGTGGGAAGGAAAAAGTGTGGCAGAAAACGCTGCACGATGAGAAGAGGTGACCGGACCCTGAGGAAGATTGTGGAGAAGGGCCGATTCCAGACCTTGGGGGACCTGCGGAAGCGGTGGACTGAGTCTGGAGTAGAAACTTCCAGAGCCACAGTGCACAGGCGTGTGCAGGAAATGGGCTACAGGTGCCTCATTACCCAGGTCAAGCTACTTTTGAACCACAAACAGCAGTAGAAGCACCTGACCTGGGCCACAGAGAAGCAGCACTGGACTGTTGCTCAGTGGTCCAAAGTACTTTTTTCGGATGAAAGAAAATTTTGCATGTCATTCAGAAATCAAGGATCCAGGGTCTGGAGGAAGACTGGGGAGAAGGAAATGCTAAAATGCCTGAAGTCCAGTGTCAAGTACCCACAGTCAGTGATGGTCTGGGGTGCCATGTCAGCTGCTGGTGTTGGTCCACTGTGTTTTATCAAGGGCAGGGTCAGTGCAGCTAGCTTTCAGAACATTTTGGATCACTTCATGGTTCCATCTGCTGAAAACCTTTATGGAGATGAAMATTTCATTTTTCAGCACGACCTGGCACCTGCTCACAGTGCCAAAACCACTGGAAAATGGTTTACTGACCATGGTGTTACTGTGCTCATTTGGCTTGCCAACTCTCCTGACCTGAACCCCAGAGAGAATCTGTGGGATATTGTGAAGAGAAAGTTGAGAGACACAAGACCCAACACTCTGGATGAGRTTAAGACACAAGACCCAACACTCTGGATGATCTTAAGACACAAGACCCAACACTCTGGATGAACTTAAGACCACTATCGAAGCATCCTGGGCCTCCATAACACCTCAACAGTCCCACAGGCTGATTGCCTCCATGCCACGCCACACAGAAGCAGTCATTTCTGCAGTCATTTCTGCAAAATGATTCCCCACCAAGTAGTGAGTGCATAACTGAACATAATTATTTGAAGGTTGACTTTTTTTGTATTAAAAACACTTTTATTGGTCAGATGAAATATGCTAATTTTTTGAGATAGGGGTTTTTGATTTTTCTTTACTTTTTTGCCAAAATCATCAATTTTAAAACAATAAAAGGCTTGAACTGCTTCAGTTGGTGTGCAATGAATCTAAAATATATGAAAGTTTAATGTTTATAAGTACATTACAGAAAATAATGAACTTTATCACAGTATGCAAATTTTTTGAGAAGGTCCTGTAAATGGCTTGGGTAGATTTTTTTCTAAATGCATTTAAGCTGAAGTGATTCATTAGCGTAAGACAACCAAAATATGACTGATGTTTTTTTTTTATCCAAGACTACTTCAAACAAAAGCTTATATATATATACACTAATATATATAGTGTATATATAATATACACTGACAGTCATTATTTGTGTTTGTATACACAGATCACTAAATTTAAGATTTAAAATAAGTCTATTTTTATGAGATAATTTCTCCTGTCAATAAAGCTTCGACCACCTCTCTTGCTCTCTCTTTAGCTCGAATGCTACATTGATTGGACCACCTAATGGTAAATCATTGCCATCCGTAATTAGTTGAAATACATTCAGTTACTCAAAGGTCTGAACCGGGAGATGGATGTAATTTGGTGATTTTGAGATGCTTAGGGATGAAAGTAATCAATCATTTAGAGTTAACAGAATCATTTTCATGTCAGAAACTGGTGCAGAAAGTTCCTCTGAGTACTGAGATAGTCACTTGTGTTTGGAAATGCTAGATGGGACATGCTGAGTAGTTGGAAATAGGCTTGTATTTGGTGTTGGTCTGCAATGCTAATGTGGACCAAAATCTAAAAACTATGGTTGATGCAATGACCATGAACTAGAGGTGTTGTTTGCTTTACCCACTGGATATCCAACAAACCAATGAGATTATGTAGTGTCAGATCAAAAATATTTAAACTAAGTCATCTGAAAATCAGCATGAGCTTTTAGCTTGACCCAAACTGTTTGCTAGTGCGTCTCTGCCCCAAGAATAGAAAACCCCAAAATCTAAATATGAAACAAATGAACTAGCACGAATGCTTGGACTTGAAGTTTTACCATTTAACCATCCCCAGTTGGATTACAAACTGCTCCCCAATAAGTTTACAGAACATTTTCCCATAAGTACAGGGTGAGTGAAAAGTCAAAGTACGCCCTTTAATTTGA